CTCCTCATAAGACATTCCTCTAAGACCAGGAATCATTCTCGTAGCTCTTCGTTGCACCTTTTCTAAGGCAGCAATGTCCTTCTTATAGTAATGAATAATCATTTTAAAAAAAACTTGACCATATAAGCAGGTCCAACCAGGCTCATATTGACCACTATGATTTGTAATTTTTTTCACAGTCCACAGTTTGTCTGCCATTGACTGATACAATCACATGTCCGTGGGATATTGAGCAAGGCCCTGATCACCCAGCTCCAAGGACACTGCGCATTGAGTGACCCTGCACTGTAACCCCCAAGCCACGGAGAGCAAGAAGGGATAGGCAAAGAGAAGAATTCCAGTGTACCTGCATGTACTCATCCTTATGTGAATGGCAAATAAAGGATTCTTCATTACTGCCTTCCTGATACTCACGCTTAGCTATGACTGACTGACCCCATTTGGTCACCATAAACCTGTTTCCATCCATGGGTCACTGTTTTGGATGTTTTGCCCACTGGACTGTGATGTAGGTCATATATTTCCATGGCATGTGGACATAGAGGTAAATATGGTTATAATATGTATGCAAAATATTTTGTGAAAAACAACATGGATATTGCAATTTAGGATAGTAGTTTCATTCTTAGTAAGCTTTACGTGTAAAGATACTCCATATTCCTACTACCTGCCTGATACACACTGTATAACTGACTGACCCCATTTGATTTGTGAAAAAAATCACAAATCAGCCTGGTCAATATGAGCCTGCTTTGGTCACTTTTTAGGTGTTTGGTGTTACATCTGCTGCTATTCCACTTAGCCATAGAGGCCAGTGGCGTGAAATGTGCTAAAATACATTTGTGACTTTTTCCACATATCCAAGTTTGTGTAACGCAAATGCATTTTTAATATGATTGACAGTGTGACTTTTACAAATAGGCTTCCACTCTCGAAATGGGTGTTTTGAACCTCTGTTGCCTCACATGAATCAATGGCAGAAAAACTGTGGATAAAAAAATCAGAGTGGTCAGTATTAGCCTGTTTATATGGTCAATCTTTATTATTTACTCTTGAAAATAATAAGGCGAAGTATAATATCGGCAGATTTCGGGGTGGGGGTGATGTCATCTGAACTCGCAACTCACAAGTAACAAAATGCCACCGTTTACTGATTTGCACGTTACGGCGCTGTAGAGAGAAATTTAACGGAATCCCTAATCGCCAACTTCAAACTGTCTTTATCGCGGTGCCAAAAACTCGGACTTTGGACAATGTATAGAACAATAAAAAAGCAGCGACACGTTTGTGGTCGCTTTGTTCGAAAAAGCGTCCGCAAAACCACAACTTGTATTACAGGATTTTGTTTGGTGTAATATTTTAAAGGTGCCTTTTTTCACCCGTTTCTGGGCCTGCTAAGAATACCAACTGTTAAGAAGATTTGTGTTACGTTTTAGGCATATTTAAAGTGACTTTACAGGAATTCGAGGCTTGTCTATAAGGGTGATCTGTGCATTCTTCTGCTCTCCAGCTGCAAGCCATGCCCTCGCTGCCCGTGCTGGTGGTGCATGGAGGAGCAGGTCACATCCCCAAGGACCGCGCGCAGATCTCGTGTGCCGGGGTGCGAGAGGCGGCCAGGGTGGGCTACGCCTGTCTGCAGGCTGGGGGCAGCGCCATGGACGCTGTAACCGAGGCCGTCACGAACCTGGAGAACAACCCCGCGTACAATGCAGGTATGGCGCTAATACTGATGACCGCAGAAACAGTGAACCAGTATGGCACGATGTATTAGTTTCAGTTTTCTTCAAAATAATTGTAAAAAGACTGGTAACAGAAATTGCTATACTTAAAAATGTAATAAGTAATGTAATTTGACGTTTAGAATTGTTTTAAAACCTGATTGTTTTCTTATCCGTGAAGTATTGTAAATACATCATAGATTGTTTACTGGTTTTAACGACTGAGTAGAATTAGGGCACCTGTTCGGACGGGCAAGTACAGACACTGCATCGGTTTTTGCCGGTTACACATCTAACCGGTCCTACGGCACTATTACCAGGCCGCGGTTCGGTGCTCACACAACATGGCACCGTGGAAATGGACGCCATAGTGATGGACGGCCGCACGCTGGCCAGTGGAGCCGTATCTGCGGTCAGGAGGATCGCTAACCCCGTACAGCTGGCCAGGCTTGTCATGGAAAAGGTACACCTGCCTACATCTACCAGTTGGGGGCGCTGCCGCACAAAATCGTCTGTACCCTTTAGGGCAGGGCAGCGCAAACTACAGCTTTTCAAGCAGGAAGTTAAAGCATATTCGTTTTTTTTTTTTTCGTTTATTGTATTTCATAATATGAGGGTTGCAGTAGCATTGTGCAGTCGCCTTGTGCCGCCATCTTGGTGCACTGTCAAAATGCAAAACGAAATGCAAAGACAGTACACGAAGTAACTAAAAGGTACACAATACACAAATATAGCAACTGCTGTGTCCCATGTTCACTGTTGGTGTCTCTGTCATCCATACTGAAAGAATAAGAATGGTCGTTAGGACGTTTTTTGTTTTTGTTTTTTTTTTTAAAGATAAAAAAACAACGATAAATTTATGTCATAAGCTTACCTCTCATGATTTATGTGGCATAAAAAGCCATAAAACTGCTTGTATTCTCATTAGATTGCATCAGTCATCCCAATCATAAATTTATAACAGGCTGTCTGCAGCGAAAGTGGCCCGCTTTAAAGTAAAAAAAAATTAATGTGGGCCTCGGGCCGAAAATTTTCCAAGCTCTGCTCTAGGGCTGCTCTTAACTTTACATTATTTAGCTTTTGTCCAAAGTGATGTAAAATTGAGACAAATGACACATGGTGAACAAACGTGTTGTGGAGGAGTCGACTAGGCTGAGCTTCTCAAAGAATATCCATTTACAAGCATAAGCCGTATTGAAGCAGGAGCCACACAATATCTTTCTAAACAAAGAAAGAGCCTAAGAGCAGGACTATTCGAACTCAGCTTACCAGTAATAGTGTTTGTGGTGTCGTCATCCACAGAAAAATCACCGTGGCGTGACTTTTAAAATGCAACATTTTAGAAGCTAGAGGTGACGATAAAAATGGATACTGGCTCATTCACCCGCGGGTCTCGTTCCGCTTGTCTGTCCCACCCAGACCAGCCACCTGTGCCTGACAGCGGAGGGGGCCTCCCATTTCGCCAGAGCCATGGGTGTCCCCGAGGTCCCCGAGGAGTCACTCATCACTGAATACGCCAGGATGCGCTGGAGGAAGAACCTGGACCCAGATGCCAACCCAGTGCAGTGCATGATGATGGGCGGAGAGACTCCATCAGCGCCAGTAGATACACATGACACAGAGTATATAACCCTTAACGTGCATATAAGTTCATATCAGTAAATCGATCATATATGTGCAGAAATGAAAAGCTTTAGACTGTTTGCACTGTGCCATGCTTAGGCTTGCGCTTTGTTTATATCGACGATGCATGTTATTGCACATGCGGGCGCCACATTTCAAGGACTGTGATAGCTAGGTTGAGATTTGGGGGGGGGGGGATCAGACAAATTTTGAGGTGGGTCAGTACTTGTTATTTTACTATCTGGCTATGTGTCTGGTCAGAAACAAATGAATTTGTGTGGGGTGTGAGGTTCAAACCTGTAATTATATTACATGGCCTGTCGTCCAAACATTATACTGTGTTTCCGTAATACTGCCCGAGCATGGCTCGGATGTCTGGTACTTATTAAAAATTGCTGGAAAGTTTACCGCCGCTGCTTTTGCATATCTGGTACTAGTTAAAAATTTCTGGAAAGTTTACCGCCGCTGCTTTTGCATATCTGGTACTAGTTAAAAATTGCTGGAAAGTTTACCGCCGCTGCTTTTGCATATCTGGTACTAGTTAAAAATTGCTGGAAAGTTTACCGCCGCTGCTTTTGCATGAGCCCTGCATGCGCTGTCCAAGACGGACAAAATAATTTTGCCGTGGTTTGTTAGACTCATTCATTGACAGTGTGACACTTTAGTGAGAAATCTAGTAGAATGAGTGGGGAGGGAAAAAAGCGAACAAGAACCAGTCACCAAAAGTAGTCAGTCTTCTGTTGTATGGAAATATTGTGGATTCCATAGAGACGATATTGAGATGATTTGTCAGCATGACTTACAGCAACACAACCAGCTTTTTTAACCAACTCTGTCAGTAGGTATGTTCCATTTGCCTATAATTTACTTTGGATAAAATAAGTCCTTTATTTCCATTTGCATAAGTATGAGTACACGTACACCGGAATTCTAATTTTCAACTCTTTCTTTGCTTTATGTACTTCACAATATTGATTGCAAAAAAAAAATCACATTGCAATATTTGACCCATTTCCAATATCGTGCAGCCCCTAGCAGGCATAGAAATATTTGTGGACATGTTCTCCTATTTATCTGGGCCTCTGATTTAGATTCCACTGTTTACTCCGGAAAATTGACATGTTTACCCCTCAGCCTGAGACCGGAAACTACAAATTAGCTAAGAGCAAGACCTTCGGTCTGTGTTTCTCGCTTAGAAATCTGGGCAAATTGTAGCAGAGAGCAGCAGAGCTTGTTTTGGCATATCGTATGGGGGGTATCTACTGCTCTCTGCTACAGAACACATCTCCATCTTGTTTGTTGCATGGTGACCTCACGAAGTCCTCTGGGCAGCCAGCTCTGTGTATGGTTTCCATGGCGAGGCTGCAGTCACTGTGTGGTCAGAATCTGCATGCTTTGTATTTCTGACAGAAAAGGCACTAAATGACTAAATATAATCTCCTCTAGTGCCTGTGTTTTGCATTGTGATTAACCTTTTTTCATTTGGCTTATGCATTGGTTATGCTCCGTAGCCGGTTTATATTTTTAACCAGTGTTCTGGGAGAACTTTACAATTGGCTGGTTCGGAGAGGCTGTTCTTTGGGCCGAACTCTTAGATGTCCAGAGCCTGGTGGACCTTCTGTGGAGCTGTGCTGCAGGGGAATGTAGTATTGCTGTGTGGTGTCTTGGATGACCTGATTCAGACTAGGGTGCATTGAGGCTTGAACTTTGCAGCTCTGGGTTGGTATTGTGGAACTGAGTGTGACTTCAGTTAGGTGCTGGTCTCAAGCTCTGTGGTTTTGCTGGTTAAATGAAAGCTCCTTAATAGTGCAATTCAGGTATAAATCAAGCCTGACATGATGTTTGATCAAGCTACTGATTCTAACTTTTTTTTTTTCTCCACAAGAATCGTGGTTCCATGGTTTTCTCTTTCTGTGCCGCTATTGTCAGGGTGCAGACCGTCCCCTCCTGCTCCAGATGGTTTAAGGCTCTGCCACAGCCTGTGTTCAGTGGCAGGATTAGGTTGTCTACACAGAGCAGGACGTTAAGTTCCACATTATGGAGTGCGACATCTTCAGCTACAGGCTGTTTCTTTTTATCCCAGAAAGTCATTAATATAAATGTTTAACACTGCAGGACTCATCCAGCTGTCCTTTCTCACTCCAGCTGGGTGACGAGTTTAGACGTGAGTCTCTCTGATTTTATTATGCGGAGTACAGGGCTCCTCTGCCAGGTGGGCAGATGCGGGTTTAGCCGGAAGATGCCCCGCAAAGACTATCACTATCTTTTGAGCCCTCTCTGCTGTTTTGAGTTCTCAGCTCTTTCGCATGCAGAGCATGTCCTGCTTCTCTGTTGCCATGTCAACCATTTGCCTGTATCGCTTGCACTTGTGACTCTTGGTAACTGGCAGTTTGACAGGGGTTTCTTAAAAGGATTTTTTTTTTTGTAGCATTTTGTGTCGAAAGTCCAAAATCTAGATCTTAGAGCTGTTGTAAAAGACGCCCCGTTATTTGGTTAGAATATGCATGCTTTAGTGTTTTCTGGCTTTTCCCTACTACATACACAATTTCTTGTCCTTGCTGTGTTCGGTCTGTTTTTATTTTGTTGTTTCTTTTTTTTTTGTTCCATTATTGTTCACTGTAGTCATCTGGACAAAGGCAAAGAGACCAAGATTAATGTCACGGTGCACAGAGGCTCACCTCTATCAGCCCATTCTCTCTTTGCGTCTCACTGCTTTCGTATTTTTGGCTTTCGGGTCCTAAACATAAGTAAGATTGCAGTTAGGGTGAGGTACATCAGTGGCCAGAATCGTCTAAAATTAAGCCTGTGAGATTCCATGTGTTGTTTTAATCACTGCCTTACAGTGTGTGTGTGTGTGTGTGTGTGTGTGTGTGTGTACCTTTTAAGGGGCAAGATTGGCACAGTGGGTGCCGTAGCGGTAGACGCACAGGGCAACATTGCCTGTGCCACTTCAACCGGAGGCATGCTGAATAAGATGGAGGGGCGTGTGGGAGACACAGCCTGCATTGGTGAGTCCTCACTTCATTACTCGATAGTAACACACAGCCTTGACGATGACTGGTTTTATGCAAACATTACTCTGTCTTAAGTTTGTTAGAGTGACAGTACATCATGTAGAGGTTTAACTTGTCTGCCATGCCACCTGGTGGCCATAAAAAGTATTGCTACATTCAGTGCTGATATCAGCTGATTTTATTGTCTGGCTGTCTATTGTCTTTAATAATGAATTTAAGCATCATTCTCTCTGTCCAAGCCATCATGCGCCATCCCTTTCCATCCTTGCCAGTGTTCGTCCTTTTCCCTGAGTGATGCCATCCCTGTCGTCCCCAGGGTGTGGCGCTTATGCTGACAACCATGTCGGAGCTGTGTCCCCTACGGGCCACGGTGAGGCCATCATGAAGGTCACCCTGTCCAGGCTGATCCTGTTCTACATGGAGCAAGGTACGCCCTTCCTGACACGCACACTGAGCCGCGCTGTATACATCCCCCCCCCGCCCCCGCGGGCGTTACGATGCTCCGTAGTGTTTCTGCACTCCCCCCCCCCCCCACCTCGGATTCACACGTCGCACGCCCACGTTTCGTCGGCCTGCTCAGGCACGGCGTCCATCACGCCTGTGAAACAGAAACGAAACTTGGGATGGATCCTGGACACAGGGGCTGTTTCCAGGAGTGGGGGGGGGGGCTACACTAGTTGTCTGGGAATCACAGGCACCGGCGGTATTCTACTAAAAGGGAAGCTGGACAGATACTTGGAGATCAGTCTGTGCTCTGTGGGGGGGGGCGGTGTTTCCTACAGACGCTTTTGTTCCCACAGTGAAGCACCTGATTGGAACATCTTCACTGAACCCGTTAAACTCCTTTTTTCGAGCTCTGAATGATGTAATGAGAGCTGAAAGCTTTCTGGACTCGGTCTTCCGCTGCCGTAATTGAATATTCCTTGTCTGGTCGTTCCCCCCCTGGGATCTGAATTCCTCCGCTCCCCCTCACCCCCCCCCTAGATACTTTAGCTCTCGGAGGCTGTCAGAGTTGCTGACCTGGTGTTTGTTAGCTAAATATTAACCAGTGTGGGAGGAGGGAGCCTCACATTCTTGCGTAGTGTTTACAGTCAACCTCTGACCTCGGGGGGGGGGGGGGGTCCTCCTCAGACTTCAGAAGCCCCGCCCCCCATCCGTGCTGGGGGAGATGGTTTATCTTTCAGCTATTTCTTCCCCCCCCCCCTGCTTTTCCCCAACCATGCAGGGAAGTCAGCTCAAGAGGCAGCGGATCAAGGTCTAGCCTACATGAAGGACCGGGTGCAGGGCTTGGGAGGGGTGGTGGTGGTGGACCCCCGGGGCGACTGGGCAGCCCGTTTCACCAGTGCCCAGATGGCATGGGCGGCAGCGCAAGGCGACCAGTTGCATTATGGGCTTTATGTGGGTGAGCATTTCACACAGCCAATCACGGACCCTAAAGGCCCTTAGTCTCAGAGAGGGAGATTTCTGACCTCTCCTCAAGTACACACATTAACACTCCATGATCTCCACTCACAACTCACCCCCAGAGGGCCAGCTTTGCTGTCCATGGCCACACAACTTGCATTATGATTACACACAAAATTGCACATGAATGCACTGTGATCAAACAGTATTTAAAAATCTGAATTTAGATTTCTTTAATGTATTTTGAATATCTAAATTCATGCAGGGATTGATTCTGTCAACCAGACTGACAGTTTTGTCAACCAGAGATTCGATTTAACTCACGTTACCTTTTACTGATAAATGCTAGATGTGATTTTTGCATGTAGAGCTACTGTATTTCTTTGAAACTCTAAATACGACACAATAAACTCTCCTTGTTACTGTGTTGATGTCCTCTGCGCGACCTTCCTTGTGTTTACTATTGCTATACGGTTCTGTTCACGCAGCGTTTTCAGAGTGTGTTCGCACACTTCCCTGTTGGTGTGACTAGGAAAAACAGATCTTGTAGTGTGACACTGTGTTTGGTATCAACAGTGTAGCAGAAGGTTGTGGAGGTGAACGTCCACGACTCAGCATCGGGACTATGAGAACTTGTTTTGCTTCTGCTAGCCCCAGCGATCTTGCCTGTTTGTATTCAAAACAGATGGAACTGAGTCCAAAACTCCTCTCCTCATGCTTGCTTCGCTGGTTTTAAAGTGCTGGAGGGGGTAGAACTTTGCCCTGGTATAATATTAAGTGTGCCTGATTGGCTGAAATGTATCATGTGACTTGGGTCTGTTGATGTCTTTGCACAATAATGTGAGCGTATGGAGGGATGATTTTACCTGAAACAGGAAACTAGGTGGGCCTGGTATGTGTGACCCCCCTCCACACACACACACACACACAGGGTTTTGGTTTTGGGTTCTTCTTGTATTACCTTTGATCAGGTAAGTTGGGACCATGATATTAAAATCAGTGATTGGGGTGGGGGGCAGGACTACAGTGTGACCTTTGACCCTTGAATGACCATGGGAACAGTGCATATAGGGGGTGTACTGTGATGGCCTGTTTGCTGGAGGTCATATGGGGGGCAGGGGGTGGGGTATGTGCTATACTGGTGCCAACTCCACAGACATGAACATGTTATCCATCCAAGCCCCAGGAAGCAACTCCATCTCTGCCTGGATCGCTTTCCAGCACAGAAGCGTTCGAGTGTGTTTGTACGGCAGGTGATTTCCCATTCAAAATGCCTGTTTGCAGAGTGAGTCTTTCAAATAAAGTAACCGAATGTAATGTAATCAAATGTAATCACAGTATCAATCAAATATAGTGGGCAGTGTGGTTAAACTGGGCAAATTTACTAACAAAATCCCATTTTTGAGTTTGTGCCATACTGCTGTTATTTCAGTACACTTTTGGACAGCAGCAAATCACAGACTGCCAACAGTTTGAGAGATAGTCTTCTTTTGCAGTTAGTGCCATATCTTATCATGGTGAGTGCATGTGTGTTGCAAACAGTTAAGCGTGATTCGGGATTACTAAACGCCTAATTTGGTTAAAATTGCGCAGGGGTGGTATTACGTACAGGATAAATACAAGGCAAACATCTGCTTGCTTTCATGGGAGTTACATTTCCATGAGGTCCGATAGGATCTGAACCGTGTTTCACATAGCAGCGCCATGCAGAGTGTATAAGCGCACCGACTGCGCCACAGAGTAAAGCGCATTCCCAGGCAACGAAGCAGACTATGCAAACATTTCCCCAGATAACAGGCCCGGTCCTGGTCGAGCCTCTCAATGTACCGTCCCTCCTCCACATTGTATAAATAAATATGTAATAACGGGACGTAGAAGTCTTATGACGAGAGGACGGTTAATTGCGAGATCGTGCATCTGATACCTTCATTACGCCAGCGTTTCTTTTTCTGCTGGAGGTCACTGGGAAGCGCGCGCACGGGGGGCACTGGCATGTGAGACCGTCCCATTGATGTACATCGTCCTGCCGGTCATTGGTCAGCGTCCCGTAGCGATGGCAGAAAGGGGGCCGGGCCGAAAGACAGCCGTCATAGAAAAAGTCGGAACCGAGCGATCGTCCGGCGTCCGTGACAGATACCCGGAAAGCTTGGGAGCCGGGCGACGAAAGCAGCCTTTCCGGCTTTTTTAACGGGACGTAAGTGCGCGCCTTTAGCGCTTTTTAAAAGGGGGGTTTCGGATTTGCAGAAGCGGAGCGCACTTAAAAATAGGTACTCAAAGAAGCACGAAGTATCACTCTGCCAAAGCCGGAGACGCGCTTAAACTGCGGGGAGAGGAAAAGAAAAAAGACGCGAAGAACATGGCGAGGGTCTGTAAGCCAGGGGGGCGATACTCCGGCTTTAAATAACTCTGCATGATTTTAAGGGACATCGGGAGTGTTGGAGGAGTTTACTATGGCGATTGCGGTTTCTAAGCAGGGAATGAGCTGATAACTTGTGTTGTGCCAGAGAGAGGGAGCGGATTGATTGAATCCTGCCTACAGCGCCCGCCGGACAGGGTGTGCAGCTGTGCCGACAACGTCCTGTACAACATGCCGGTGCAACATGCCGATTTATTGTAAAATTTCAAGATTTTCCATGTTCAGTTTATACTGAGGAAATCTGAACCAAAACGAGGCGAGGACGTGCGAGGCGAGGGGGGGGGGAGACTTTTACAATATTGGATTGATTTCTACTTGCACGCTGCAAAATGCATTTAAGGTAATTAACCTTAATTTATAAACCTCAGAGACTCGGATTAATTTTGTCAAGGAAGGGAAGGTTTGGAAACACCTGAAACTCTGGAGTATTCCGTTTGGGCGATGCTCAGCAAACTAGACTTTAGTGTTCAGGAGCTCCAGCTTACCAGAATTTTTGAGTAAAAAAAAAAACCCAGTTCGCTTATCTTTAATAGTAGAGTAATTCACATCTTTAAAATTAAGCTGGCAAATATACGTTATTCTCATCCTCTAAAATACAAGGTAGGCCTACAATTGTTCTGATAATGGCTGTTTTAATGTCCGGGACCCCCGGAGCTGATAAAGGTGTTGTGTTTTGAGTTTTATTGCTGCAAGTGCCTTCATGCCACATGAGAACCGCTAGCAACATAGTGCTCGCCTGCTGCGAAAGATGCTATTCCAGTTCTTTGTGACTGTGGTCTGTTTGTGGCATTTGGGAGAACTTTGACAGCCAGCTGACTTTCACAAGTCAGGGGAGGGGAGGGGAACACGATCGGGGGCTTGTCCGTCGTGGTTGTAGGGCTGCCTGGGACCCCGAGCAGGATTTTCTTTTAGTTCTCAGCTGATGAGGAGCAGGGCTGCATGTGACTTATCCCCTATGGAATAAACAACCACGGAGGAGACGGACTCGCGGGGCAGCGGCTGCTCGGATAGGGAGCCTGCTGACCGGCCCCCTCGGAGGCGCAATTACTCTCGGCTTTGTTTTCCTCTCGCTTTATTTGTTGCTATAATGGTCATGTGACCATGCCGCCCTGCCCCCGAAGCCCAGTGTTGCATGAAGTCTTCATTTCTTTGGAGCACAGTAACGCTGTTATATATACCATATTTTAGTTCAAACGATGCAGTTCTTGAAATAAATACAATTTAACCAAGATTTAATATAAGATTAAAATATATCTTTTAATATTAAGGAGTACATAATTGAGGAAAAATGGAATATGCATGCAGTATTTATATTGTTATATGATTTTCTCTTCTGGAGGGATAGGTTTCGAAAAAAGACCATGATTGTTTTAATTGGTTTTTAACTGGTTTTTAATTTCTTTTTATATAAATGTGGTGTCATTGTGGGTAGAAAGGGAAAGGTGTATAATCATGTGATAGATGAGCTTTGAATTGGGAAAATGTGCACATGTGTGGTTAAAGGAGATCAAAGATTTTTCAAGCAGAAACCAAATAGTCCAAACGAGTTGAGATCCGAGTTGCATTTCACTCGTCCCCCCCCCCCCCCCCCCCCCC